AAAAATTTAAAATATTCCGGCGTCACACTGTAAAATATTCCACTTTCGTCGGATTACTTTTTTTACGAGCAAATAACCAAACCTTTTATAAAGCGGAGCAACGTTGTATCACGCGGATGCGAAACATTTCTTATAAATTAAAGATTTTACGAACGATTTATTTTCATTTGTCTCGTCTCAGTTTCTATATGTCTAGTCTCTTCACGGGTGCAGTCGAATATTTGTGTTTCTTCCTACGTGACTGCGATTCGTAAGTTTAGTTACGAGTCTCTTAACTTTTTTCTTAATTATTTAATTGATCTAGACGAGTACATCGAAAATAGTGTATTAGAGCAAAAATTCGCAAATGACTGACAATGAGTTGAGACACGCGCGAAAATAAGAAAGAAGGGACGGAAGAGCTTCAGATAGCGGAATAATACGCTTAAAGGGTTGCCTTTTTAACTTCTCGTGTTATCTCGGCGGCTATGTTTAACGGCTCTATAAAGCCCGGCACAAGCGTCTTCAGGTTGTGATTAATCGCCGTGTACGAAAGCGGTTATCTCCTCTCGTGCCTTTATTAATGGATCCTTAAGACTCGGCTGCCATTACATACTAGCTATATATTTATGACGTTTCGAGTTACTTAATCCTTTCATTGATCGTTCGTTGGAAATTCGATCTATCACGACGCAAAATCGCATGATAGATTCACAGGAATGGAAACTGGATGAGATGTAAGGAATTATAGTCTTGAGCAAAAATATGAGATATCTTTATCTAACAGTAATCTAACGTTATCTCTCTTGAACATAAAACCAGGAGAAATCATCACTGTCTAGAGTTCAATGCAAAATATTTTCAGTTTCATCCATCATTAGTTGTAAATTAAATTTGATTTAGAGTTTGAAAATCTCTCTCTCTCTCTCTCTCTCTCTCTCTCTCTCTCTCTATTGATGATTGCTTATATACATTTTTTAATGGAAACATTGTTTGTTTTGATAAAAAAAATGTGCTTTTCACGAATATTAGATCAAACAATGCACTTTCCTGAATTAAACATGACGCGGTGATTTTTATAGTAATGTAGCATAAAGAGAACATTATTTTTCGGCAAAACTGCCGTTATATGTTACATCATAGCCAGCGATGTTTATTTAAAATATTTCTTTCATACGCACGTAGGCAAATATCCACCGAGATAGACAAAAATACGTGCAATGCGAAGCGTGAAAAGCATTTCGTTTCTAGATTTATTATTAGATTCATCCGGTCATTCGATCCGGTCATGACAGGTTCGAAAAATCTTTACAAAATATAATCCAACTTCAGCTTCGTATGCGCTTTATTTTAACCATCATATGCTCCAATTTAATTATGTCCGATGAAATAGCTGACGTCGTTGAATTTCAAACTGACAGATAGATCGTAATTTAAATTATTCCAGCGAATTAATTAGTTATTGCGTTGCAACACCGGACCGGTTAATGTAATGGTTAATGCAGAATTTACGAATCATTGTAATGAACGTCGATATTTCACCGCTCTGCGAAATAATTTTGGCGAGAAAACAAACAATAATAGCGCGTGATTGATAAATTAAAGAATTGTTTCCACGTAATAATAAGTTGTAATAAAAAAGTCTAAAAAGATCCGCGGAGAATTCAGCTTATACCTCGTTTTATACCTCGTTTTTCATATCTACGTAAATAATTTTTTCTTAAGATTTATCTGTATGAGTTATGAAGTAATATGTCATTAAAGAAATTAAAGAAACACGAAATAAAGAAATGGAATTTTAAGAATGTATTTCGTTTTAACGTCGATCTGACACTGTCTTTAATTGCGGTTTATAATTACGGGGAGTTAAGAGTTTTACAAGCGAAATAACTTTGCTATTGAAGAGACGCAAGAGTGGCAATTTAAATTCCTCTCATTTTTTACGGCTTTTAAGTTAATTTCCGTGAATATATATATAAATGCTAGTTCGCCGAGGTTTCTATGCCACTCACGTAGCTATGATGCTATTCACATCATCATCGACATCGCACTTCTGGAGAGTGATTTTGAAACTGTTTTATAAAGAGTCTGCAACTTTCATGATAACAGAAGAAAAGTTTTAAACAGATCTTTTTGATGAATGTTCTTTTTTCTTGAATGATCTTTTATGAATGTCACTAAGTTCTTATTTGATTCGTTTAAGCTTTAACGCCTCCAATATATATTCATGGATCCAATTCGGCCATATTTTATGTTCTAATTTTTATGTAACATATTTAGTATTATACGTAACAAGTATTAAAAGAGAGATTATCCATTTATAAAAAGGACATGTTAAATCGATATTCAAATATATCAAAGTTTATTATTGTTATTTTTCCGATAGATTGATTTTCTCTTTGCGCGCACTACATGAATAGCTCATAGTCATTGTGAAAATTTTGTATTTTGACAGTTGTATATATTGTGTATATCAAAGAATTAATAATGGAATTGTGTATATCAATTGGAATTAATAATATTAATTGTTGCTCCTTTTATTTAAAAAAATAATTAGCGTGTAATATGTAGCGTGTAAAAAAATAAGTAGCGCGCATCTATAGCGTTTAATGTTAATAATATATATATATTATAATTTACAATAGTAATATCGGATTAATATTGATATTAATGTTAGTAGAATATAATTCAATGATATAATAATATAATAGTAACAATGGTTATTGATCCGGAATATTACAAAGCAAATTCGTACAAAGTAACAAAAATTGTCGATTCGTCAAAAGATC